AAAAAAAAAAAAAAAAAAAAAAAAAACATATTTAAACAATTTTTTTTTAAAAAAAAAAATATATTTCATTTTTAATTACTTTTTTAAAAACTGTTTTCCATTTTTATTTAAAATGACATTCATAACCTATAAGACTTATTCACGCAAACAAATTTTTTTTAAACATGCAATATAAATATCAAATTGATAATCATAAAAAATGATTAGTTTGATATATGAAAACACTAAGAAATAATAAAACTATTAAATTTTTAAATATTTTTATAATTCTAGTTATCAAAATACTTATAGATTTAATAATTTTGATAGGCATAAAAGAAAGTACAAATCTACATGAACTAAAAAATAAAAAATTGACACATAGGATTAATACCACAAGTTGACATATAGAATCATGAAACACTAAAATTGATATGTAAAACTCTACACTTATATATAGAGATATTTAATATACACGTCGATGATTAAATATACCGACAATTTGTTTCTCAATAGAAACAGTGCATAATCTAATTTTGTAAGAAAAAATAGTTCCGTACCTATTTTACTGTCCCATTTAAATGCATATTCATCCAATACTAAAGTATATGTACATAAAAGAAATAATACTTTGTTTCAATTAACTCGTGCACATCGAGTGAAGGCAATTTAATTATTTTTATAACTAAATAAAGTTTAAATTCAATAGATGAAAAAAAGTATTAGTTTGTAAAATTTCTTTATACATGGTATTATATGTATCTCACTCTTTTGATTTGTCTTCTCTAAATAGCATTTTTATATATATATTTTATTAGTAATTTTAAAAATTATCATGTAAAATTGGTTATAACCAGAACTTCCTAGTATAGTTAGGTTTTATATTAAGCTCATACATTATAATATTCTTAGTTTAATTTTTATATAAGTAATTGTATGTCAAATCTAGGGCCACCATACTGATACATAAAAATCTGACAAATAATAAAAAATTATTATATTTCAGAAAAATGACAAACAAAGAGAAAATCCAATTAAATAAAATAAATGTTGCGGTTACAACTTCTACAAATAATAATTAGGTGTTCTATTCCACATTGTTGTAATGTGTTCCACATTAAATCTAACCGTGGATAAGCTGCATATTAAATCCTATGGCCTCAAACAAAATAAGGGAATGGTGCCTCAACGGGACTATAGACACCCCCCAAAATTCAAGCAGATTGAATAAATATGGTAAACTCCCACCCTCCTCACCTTAGAGCATCTCCAATGTTATAACTTTGAAAGAAAATAATTTTTAACACATGTCAATCAATGATTGTAATGTTAACCCATGTAGGAATAATGTTAAAAGAGTAGAAATTTGAATCAAATTAGTATCTCCAATGCATCAATTTGATAAGAAGTTATATGTATAGGTGGACCAATTAAAATAATCATTAATACAAGAACAATAAAAAATTAAATCAAATATAAAGTGAATTAATTAGTCATCATGTTTAACATGGTGTTAGATATTAGAAAGTGTGTTTAACATTGTCAACATTAAATGCTATCCACCTCATCATGAAAGAGTTTATGACAAGATGCATTGGAGAATAAATTTGTAACAAACTTTCAAAAGTTGATGATATGGATGAATTTTTATAATGTCAAAAGTTACATTGGAGATGCTCTTACTATTTCCTTGGCCTTTAAGCCATGTTTATCCGCCCCAATTAAGCACCTAGTAAGGGAACTTGTAATTCCGAAAATCTTTCTCCTTAATTTTCCCCTTTCTTCTCTATGAACGCACACATTTTCCTCCAATCTAGGGAGACGAAAATATCAGTATTCAGACATGTTGAACTTCAACAAATCGCCACGTTCATACCTCTCCTTTTCGGTTTTTCCTCACTCGCCCGCACGTCCTTCGGCCGCCTCCTTCCACGCAGCCCTGCCGCGAAACTCACCGTTAGCGAGCCCTCGCCGTCCGTCGGGTTACCTCAGCGTAGCCGCTTGCTCACACAGCAATCCCGACCACTGCATCGCCGTCGACCGATTCTCGACACCACCACCCGCAATCCACGTCGAGAAGCCTCTACCGCCGCCCGTTCACGCGATCCCTCCTCCTCGCCGCCACCACCGGCGACCCACACGACCGCTCGTTCCCACCGTGCGCTGCCTCCTTCTACGTCAGGACCGGCCGCCGTGCAGCGGCTTTTCTCCCGGCCAACCCATCTCTCGCAGCGCCGTCACAGACATCCATCGCCACCATCGTCAACCAATAGCGACGAGCGACCGTTGCCGTCCGCCCGACCGCCATCAAACATCTCTGCCACCTATCTCCACCGGCCGTCCCCTATTGTCGACGTCCTTTCGAGTATCGAGCGACAGCGCCTCCACGCTCAAACAGGCTCAACTCGCGTCGCTGTGCAACGCCGGTCGCCTCTCGGCCAACCTCCGATCGCGCAGCATCCTTACACCACCGGAAGCAAGCAGTCTGTCTACGTCGGACGAGTTCCCGCAGCCGCCGCGAACGCCTACCGTCGAGCGCATCGGACCACGCGCAACCTCCACATTGAACCGAAACCGTCTCCAAGATCTGCCACGAGAGTTCGACCGTGCTCAGCCGTACGACTTGAGCCGAGGCCGAGTGAGAAGCCGCTTGAGGTCATTTGATTTTTTTTCCAGGATTATATCGAGGAGCCAAACCCTTTTTCTGTTAGGGTTTCTTTTTGGGTTTTTCTTTGACTTCACTGAGATGTGGGGAAAATTGAGCCCAGTTTCAGACAGTTTTAAACGTCAAAAGGTAAAGGAATTCGAAGAGTTCCACCTGAGATGTCTATTCAAAGTGGTAAAGACATTTAGGAGTTGTTCGAGCGATGGGAAGAGCTACAAAGGTTGGGATGGCGCGCCATCACGCACGAGAAATGAATCGAGAAGCTCAAGGTCGTTCTAATAATGACTTGGAGGAGAAGAGCTGAAGAGATATGCAAGGATTATGCGAGGAGAAACCCGAGGGGCTACCTAGGAGCCGCACCAGTCAGCTTCTACGATCTAGTTGCTCGCCTCGGAAGGGAATGAGAGGAAAGACGAAGGCCTTCGGAGTCGAATTCTGAATCATCAGAGGAGGAGCTCCAATTCTTAGGCGAACCCAGTCAAGGGAGCAACGTGATAGCTGAGGAGTCGAGCCTCATATCTACCGCTTGATTGTAGCGTCCTTTCTGTCTAAACAGATGGGTGTTGGTAAATTTTATTGTACAGTTATTCTTTATAATTGCTAATTTTGATAATCAATGTATGTATGTGAACCGTTAGTCTATGAGAGGTTCTCACGTTGATGTTGTGTCGACGTTCTCCTATTGTTTTCCCATAGAGAGGTTCTCCCGTTGATGTTGTGCCGACGGTTTCGCTCCCGTTGATGTTGTGCCGACACGTATAAGAGGTGGACTGAATGATTTGTGTTCATGCTGCGATTATGCTTTCTGTTATTATACTGAATATATTGTACAGTATTCCCATGGTGAGGTAGTGATTATGCTCACCCCCATAATACTTTCCTGTGCTTTCCCATGCTGCGATTATGCTCACCCCCATAATACTCCTTTCAGGTTGAAGTTGGCGGCCAAGGTGATGACGCGAGACGAGGATGGTCTAATTGTTTCTAAAGTGTTTATTATTCGTTTCCGCTTAATGTTATCGAAATTGGTATAATGTTTTGGCTTTGAAATCTTGGAACTGATTGAGATTTATTATAAATGATTATTTGAGTTGATTTTCACTTCATTCTTTGATATGGGGAAATGTTGGGAAAATGAAGTTCCGTTGAATCGAATGTGTATGGTGGTTGAAATATATAATTTTTGTAAGTAAAATATATTTTGAGTAATGCCGTCAAATGTATTTTCAAATGTAAATTTTTCCTCTGAAAGAAATTAATAACAATTTATTTATATTTTTGAAAATTTGATTCTCTCTCTTTAAAACTTGAATAAATTTCTAAAAAAAAACAACGAGGCGTCACACGTATACATGGAAAAACCTAACGCCGGAGGAAAGCTCGGCGAAAAGCCTTCGATGCCTAAGTCAGTATCCAGAAGATAGTGACGATGCTCTATTACTAAGAGCAGTATAAAATGTATGGAGAATGTAAAGTGAGAGTTTGGTGTCACCTCAGTCCCTTTTATAGAGAAGTACCTGTCCGAAATACTCTATCCGACTGCCCACGGGCAGCTTGCCCGACTGCTCGAGCTTAATACTTATCCACATCCTAATCATCTCCTAGTTACCTTTAGAATCCATCTTATCTCCTCAAGATTCCTTCTTATATTTGTTACCTATTGGTTTTAAGTTGTATCCCTCCTCGAGGACGTCTGTTCCTTAGTTTGGTAGTCTGTGTCGAGATGCGTAGGTGGTTTAGGTCGTCTTTGACACCACCCTCATCTTTTTCTAGGATCCTTAGGTTGCCACCAACTCATTCTTCAGCTGTTATCGACCTCCAGACCGTTTAATTGGTGAAGTCATCGTGTTCTCTAAGCCCTTCAGTATTTCAGGTCGCTCTATTAGGTTGCCCTTTATCCCGGTCGAGCTTCGTATACTTAATATACTATGGTGTGCGCATATATGACTATACCAAGTGGGTTGCCAACGGATACTAGTAGGCCAAGGGTATGCTCGGCCCAAAAATACTAAAAAAAAATGATAAAGAAAAAAGAAATTAGGTTGGTCGTCTCCAAGTCCGGTTCCCACCAGGCCTAAAATTTATATACATGAGGTCGAAAATGGTTCCGGTCAAATCACTGGCTCAATTTCGAGCCCAGGCGGTTCGGGCCGAATCAACTATTCAGGCCGGGACGTTGTCATGTCCACTTGTGTATGAGTAAATGTGGGTGTCCCCCCACGAGAAATCGTTTGGTATCTATTACTATATAATATGGAGAAGGAAAAATGTTTGAATAAATATTTCATTTCCCGCTTAACATCATTTTTTCCCTCTTAAGTTTAATTTGAATTGTTTTCGTCCAAATTTGAATTGTTTTATTTTAGGATAAGATTTGGTTGTTTTTTTGTTAAATTTGTTATAATTCTTTTTCTTTAGGATGAGATGAGATGAGATTTGTTACCATTTTTTTAAAATCCGATTTGGTACATTTTTAATTCACTCGCTTTTCCTTTTTTTTCACGTTTTATTTCACTCGATTTTCCTTTTTTTTGATGGGTTGAGATTTGGTAAATTTTGTATTTTTAATTTTTTTAATTTTAATTCACGTTTTTAATTTTAATTTCACGTTTTGAATTTTTTCCTTTTAATTTTTTTTAATCCGATTTTTTTTTTCATTTCAAAATTAATTTTAAACAATTCCACTTAATGTAGATTCTTAACAATATGGTCCATACATATCTGATTTTTTTCCTTATTTAAAAAAAAATCAAAATTAATTTTAAACAGGTCCACTTAATGTGGATTCTTAACAATATGGCCCATACATATCCGATTTTTTTTTCCTTATTTAAATAAAATAATTCAAAATTAATTTTGATATATTTTGAAAAGACTCGATTATTTCATAACATATCCGATTTTTTTCCTTATTTAAATAAAATTATTCCAAATTAATATTGATATGTTTTAAAAATACTCCATTATCTTAATAACATATCCAACATTTTTTACTTATTTAAAATAAAATAATTCAGAATTAATCAGATTTTGAAGAGTTTTAAAAAGACTCCATTTATCTTAATAACATATCCGATTGTTTTTCCTTATTTAAATAAAATAATTCAAAATTAATTTTGATATGTTTTAAAATTATTTGATTTTCGTCTAAAATTTTTTAAAATACTATTTTTATTTTTTTATTTTTTGTAAAAAAATGGATGAAAAAGTCAAATTCAAATTAAAAAAAATGCTATTTTGAAAAAGATATTTTGTAAATCTTAAAAATATGGTCAACGATATCTTAAATACAACGGGTAAATATGGTCAATGATATCATAAATTATTTTTTATATTCAGATAGTTCAACTTAATTGATGATTTTTTTTTCAAAAAATATGACGATCATATAATTTATCATATATCATATGTTTATATTGGATGTTATTAGTTTAGTTGATGACATTCATTATATTCAAATAAATAATATGTAATTTTTTTTATTTGGTTTTTCTTTTCTTACAATAATGAGATGTCAAACATAAATAACTATGTTTAATATAAAGTCTTAGAAAAGGTTTTAAGTAAAAAGCTTGTCCGTACATCGCACGAGTTACACACTAGTATAATCTTAAGCCAATAATGAATTTTGGAAATCTTATAACATACATCCATTAATAACCCCCCACACACAAGCGACATACATTTAATTTTTACTACTACTATACACAACTACTGAATTCCAATAATTACACACCTCCCGAAATGTGGACCCAAACTACGGGCTTACAGTGGACCCAAACTATGGGCTTACAGTTATTAATTAAGGCTGGGCCCACATTCACCCACCAGCTCACGAAAAACTAGCTTCAATTCATAAACAAACAAACAAATGCAGGATGCAGATGAAAGAAAAAAATAGGTAAAGAAAATAGTTCAAATCCTCATATCTTAAATCGGGATGAAATAAACACGAAAGGGGTGGAAACCTAATTTCAGCATTTATTGGGCGAGAACCCAATAACAGATTTTGCCATATCAAAACTGACACGTGTCCCCTGCTGCTGCACATTTCCGATTATCCCGAGCGACGACGCCGTTGGGGCAAACGCCAAACAGAAGGTCCCCGATGAATCCACCGGAATCATGTAATTCTTGGCCGGTAAACCCAGCTGCTTGCCGTTAGAGAAGTGAAACGACACCGTTGGCACCTCCACGCTCTTTCTCGAGCTCAGATCGTAGCACGTGTCGAATAGCGCAACGCCGTTAGTTGACGGCAGGTTCCCCGTCCCCATACGGAACGCGTCCCTCAGCGAGTTGTACGCCTCCGTCTGCAGCCTCGTGACGGCAGTCCCGGAGTCCACTATGACGCCGCCACTTCCGTCCTCGCCTAACCGGAAGGTCTCCGGCGGAATCGGCAGCAGGTCTCCGGCGACGCTCATCCCAACCAGATCCACGTAGTAGAAGGTGTCCAGCTTCGAGTTCCGAACCAGAGACGCCGCCACGGCGTCGGGCGGCGCAGCCGCGTTGAACTCCAGCGTCGACGCCGAGTTGGAGTCGCGGTCGACAAGGCAGTAGGAGAAGGAGGAGGCGTTGATCTGAGAGGGGAACGACAGGGGGCCGCCGCCCAAGCCAATTAGTCCGGCGGCGCCGACAAAGAGGCCCTCGTTGTTGTGACCGCAGCCGATGGCCACGTTGTCGACCGCGGCCGAGCCGCCGAATGTTATGGTCTCCGTCGCGAAATCCCCGACGGTGTAGGAGCCGTCTCCGTAAGAGACCTGGTAGAGGCACGTGTCGTTTCGGCACTCGGACACGTCGAGCGACCGGCACTGTTGCGCCTCGCACCCGAGCGGTGAGAAGGAGGATGACCGGACCGGGTCGAAAATTGGATCGGTCTGCTGATAGCAGTCAGCGCAGGGAGCGCATTGCACCCAGTTGACGTCGCTCCCGGTGTCAAGCACCATGTACGCCTCCGACGGCGGCCGGCCGATTCCGACGCGGCAGAAGTACTCGCCGCTGCCCTGGCTGGTTCCGGAGATGACCTCACCTTCCAATTTGTCCTTCACTAGCTCGACCTCCAATGGCGTCAGATCTGCTCGTTTTATCCCCAGACTCGCCAGATCTACCCGAGTCTGAATCGCCTTGACTCGGGACGAGTCGCGAGCGAGTCGAGCCGACACGACGGCTCTGTAGTCCTTCTCCGAGCTCCCGTGGACGGACAACCGGTTATGGATCTGGAAACTCAGTTGGGATTCGGAGAAGACAATCGGACGCCGGTGGTGTTGTACCTCGTGCTTAGACTGTAGCACGTTTCCGAGTGAGAACTCTTGCGCTCTGGAAATTGAGGAGGAAACATCTAAAATACTGGTTTTTGAGCTGATTGAGAGTGTTCTCGAGAGAACTGAAGGGGAAAAAATGGAGAAAAACGCTACGAAGATGTAGATTTTCTCCATTGTGAAGTGAGTGAGTGAGTGAGAATAGAAGTTCGTGGGTGGGTTGATTTTATACAGAGAGCGATAAATTGAGTCACGCCGGATTTGTTGCAAAGGAAGAGAAAGAGAGAAAGCGCTTTGAATGTGTGGGTAAGGTTTGTTGGTTATTTAATGTTGTTTTTAAGATTTTTTTCTGTGTTTCAGAGGTCATTAGATATTCACCTCATTTGCATGAACTTATTTCCTTAATTAGTGTCCCGTCACGAAAAAGAGCTCTAACTGATTAATTATTGTTATTGTTAATTTGTTACCACCTAAATTCCCAAGTGATTAAGCATCGTTTATTGTTTATTATCAAGTGTTACGTTTGGACCTTTTTTTAATGAGTGGAATTTGGAATGCTTTGGAGAAATAATTCGTGTTGTTTGCTTTTGTCTGTTTAATGACGAAAAGTTGTCCTTGATTAGTTGAGAGGTTTCCACGAGCTTTCTGAAGAACTACAAGTCTACAAGCAAGATTTAATAAGCAAATTTTATATAGCTCTCAAATCTTATATCTGATAAATTCGATGTTGCATATGAGAGCAGTGCCCCACATTTTTTTTCACCTTTGATTTGCACACACACACACACACCCATGTAGTGTATGAAATTAAATGTGAAAAAGTATGTAGCATCGATTCTTCCCTTATATCTTGTTTGAAATTTGAAAAACTATTTAGTAGTCCACCAACTAAAATTTGTAAGCTTTCTAGTAATTTTTTATTTTCATCCAATATTTACTCTTCAAATAAAATTGGATGTCAAAAGAAATTATATGATACTATAAAGGTTAGGAAAATATAAAGAATCTCTTAAACCATTTTCCCTAAAAAGAGCCTGTGGGTCACATGTAGATTAAAAGACAGAGGAGATGGAAATTATTTATGTTTATCACGAGATGGCCGCTTTGCCTTTACTTTAGTTTTCTTTTTATTTCTTATATGTATATCGTTTAATCGATGTACTGATTTGGTTGGCTGTAGTGTTGGGATGGGGGGGTAATAGTGGTGGACCAAATGAGTTTAAATGTGTAAACAATGGTGGACCAAATGAGTTGAGTCTGAATTAATAACATGATTATTAATTTTCAGACCGACCTTTTGCTTTCTCCTTATAATTGTTGTGTTTGGTCAAATGCTTCAGTGTTAGATAATCTTTTGTTGCCTTATATAATCAAGAATGCTTGTGTTCATGCAATTCAGTCAAAAATCTTGCAATCTCGGTCAAACACAAAATGACCTGATCAAACCCAATTGTCTCGATTGTGACTAATGCTGTTAAATTAAACGAGCCGAACTCGAGCTCATTTAAAGCTCGATTGGCTAACGAGCCGAGCTCGGCTCGGCTCGGTAAGGTTCGAAAATAGAATTTTTATATAATTTTTTATAATTCGGCTCGTTAAGGCTCGAGCTCGAGGCCTTAACGAGCCAGCTCGAGCTCAATTTCAGGCTCGATTATTTAAAGAGTCGAGCTCCACTCGGCTCATTTATAGCCCTAATTGTGACACGATCGACCCGTCATTGACTTGCTCAAGTCAATCTAGTAGATCTGACCAATTTTCATTTCATTTTTAAAAATATTGTTGCTTAAATATTTCAAATTTTTAAAATAAAAATTATGCGTCTATATTTATGTGGAAAAATCATTATGATGATATATAATATATTAAGATTTTGGTTGTAAAAATTACTTATAAATTATTGATTGTTGTTTTTTTTTTGTATATTTGAAAGAAAAATAATAATATATATAAGTTTTTATTTTTTTTAAATTAATTATTTGATTCAACAACAGACTCAAGCACGCGATACTTAGACCGTTACCCCAAAAGTAAGTCTAATTCATTGTTCGCTCTGGGTTCCAAAAAAAAACGGTACAATTAAATTTATGCGTTCTTCCCAACTCACGACTCGTTTCCTTTTACATATATTTATGGTAGTTCTTGAAGTCTTTCCAACTCGGTGACAACTTCTCAATCACAACTGCGAACGACTCAGTCAAAGTAATTCCTTTAGCATAAATATCGCAAGATCAACTTAAACTCTTGGAATTAATACACGATGGTCTTGAAGTCCAAAAACTTACCAACGATGAATTTCTTCTCCCCGACATCCTCAGCCTTGCACTTCTTCTCCAAAGCAGCCTAAAGTTCTTTGGTAGAAATCATCAAGTTGCACACATTGTAAAACTCATTATTAATCCCATTCAGGATATAGTTTCAGCAAAGGTAGTCATCTTTCCACAAATCATCATACGCAATGCGTAATTCTACATATGTCTCATTTTTAGCAACGACAGTAGGATCATCCTTTAGGTTCTTTACCAAACCCAAGGTGGTTTGGTAAAAATACATCTTTTGCAGCAACCTCTTAAAGTTAATCCCATTGATTACTAGGGCTTTTCAGTAGTAACAACATGCACAATAGCTATGGGATGCAGGTGAAGAACAATATCGTTGACCGATATTAATAGTGAAATGGACTTCACCAGGTCTCCTTCTACCTCGGATGGCCTCCGTATCTACAAGAACTCAACGCCGGGAGGGGTCCCAGCGTCGAGACTCCGATGCCTAAGTCAGAACTTGCCAGAGATGAAGTGCAATATGAAAGTATAATAGTGAATGTCGAAGAATGTGCTTTTGTGATACCTTATGCCCCTTTTATAGGGGTGGTGTACCTTATTGCCCAAGTTTGGCTTGCGTAATACCATTATGACATGTGTCCTAGCCATGTGCAGGTTTATTCCCCAGTATATTCCTTCTTATCCATTAATATTTCTTGTGGGACAGCCTAACCGTGAAACCAAATCCTTATTATTGTGTGGTTGAGTATATTCTTAAATATGCCCGTAAACTTTGTTCTTTAGGCCGAATGATCGACCTTATCCTCTTCTGACGAATATTCGGTCTGCCAGCACAGTTGGCCTTATACGGCCGGTTTCTCAGGTAAAACCGGTCTAGTATGATATTCTATATCAGATGTATTATGACTACCTTGGTATGCAAGTCATATTCGATGGTTGCCATCAGTTCTACAGGCAAGATATTTGTATTACGATGATTACAAATTGAGTGTCGCTACAACAAAAATGCTACCAAATTGAAATTGACACTTTTAGTTCTTACAATATAAATAAAACTGAAAAATACAATTGAACTTGAAGCTGAAAGAAAAATTCTGAGGTGAGATAATATATTCCAGCAAGACAAATATTATGTGTATAGTGTTGGTGAATCAATGCATCTTATCCCAAAAGATACAACGTCAAACATCTCAAAACTATAGCACACCAAACTTCAGAGATCTAACAAACGATATTAAAGCTGAGAACTAAGCTCAATTCTATGTTATGATGCGTTAGACTTTTCTGGAGAGTAAGGGTGAAGATGATTAAATTAGTGTCTTGTGTTGGTGTTATATACTGAAAACTTGATTTTGGATTATATTTACACTTTACCTTTGTTGAATGAGAATCACGTTTGATTAAACAAATTCTATGTTCTGTTGTTTTGCAATTAGATAAAATTGTTAATTAGCGGTAAACAAAAGATCATTTTTTCAGTTACTTATGAGATAAGAATTGTTGGTTCAAAACCTAGATGGAAATGAACAAACTATCGGAACGGTTGTAGTGACATCTGTACAGTTGGTCTTGACTGATTAGTTGCACTAGTATATTTATATTGAACAGGATCCCAGAGAGTAGTAGTTTGTTTTATACTGATCGTCGTAAACAAACTTAGTCTCAATTAATTACTGCGTTCTCTTAACCCGTAAGATATAAACATACATGTGCATGCAATATCTATTGCTTTGATTACTAAAGGTGAGATTCATTCAGTTGGATCAACATCCCTAATGTTTTGGATAATAGTGTTACATGTACGATATGTTGTTAGAATATTTACGGTCACCATGTGCATCAGTTTGATGATGTCCTCGAAGTGAGTTTATGAAGGATTATTATGTTAAACCATGTCAGTGGATTAAGTTCCGACATAACGAATGTGACGAACGACGCTAGCTTCGGTTTACAAGATATTAATTAATTCTTGATTGTCAGTAATCGAATTCATTAATGGACATTATATCTTAAACATGAGGAGATAATTCGAGTAATTATAATTGGAGTCTCGAATATAATTTCGAGGATGATGAGGGAGTTCAA